GAGTTGAGAAACATCATAACTTGATAAGAAAAAACACAAAATGGTGGCAGGTATTCAGACCTCAATGAGGGCGACTAAGCAGTGTGTGCTTCTTATTTCTCTCAGAGTGAAAACTGCAGCACCTCAGAGATGAAGGCTACATCAGCTCAGAGAGATACAGAGTGTTCAAAGCTCTCTGACATTAGCTCAGAGGAAAATGTTGTTTCCTGTATCATTATCACATTTATTTCTCATGTACAGCTTCATTGCTTAAATGAATAACATCTTTATCAAAGTAGACATTAGCACGGTGAACTGGTCTACTGCATTGATAGAAACAAAGAAAATCAGAAACTGAATAAAGTTAGAAGATAACATCTCCTGTATCACAATGTTTGAAATAATAAATATATCCTACATAACAACAAACTATGTTTCTGCTCTTCATGTTAACTTCAGCTTGTGTTAAAGACTAAACACAAAGGGATGGGAAAAAATGCAAACGCACTACAATACAATACAAAGAGGAGAACGAGGAAACCACCATAGAGACAGAAATCTATCACATATATATGTTCAAAGACCAAGCCAAGAAAAATCTGAATTTAGAATGAGTATTGTAATGAGCATGGCAGAGATAAATTAATGAGTGAAGTTGGATGAAGGGATGATTATGAGGGTCGATAGATGAGGGGATGAATGTAAGGGTTGTTTTCAAAGCACTTATGATCCACCAATGTAGCATACTACTAAATAAAAAACTTTAGACGTTTTTTATTATTATTTATACATTTGAAGAAGTCACAGAAGTGTCCACTAGAGTGGACATCATGCTAAAATTACTATTATTTATTTTTTTATGAATGGAAAAAACAAATAGTTTTTGTTTCTTTATAAAACACATTTTCTGTTTGTCACATGCAAATGGTAAATGGACTTGGGCTTGTATAGTGCTTTATTAGTCTTCTAACTACTCAAAGAGCTTTTACACTGCAGGTCACACCTACACATTCAAACACTGATGGAAGAGGCTGCTATGTTACGTGTCTATCAGAAGTAACTAAACCCATTCATACACATTCATGTGCCAACAAATGAAGCAGTTGGGAGCAATTTGGGGTTAAGTGTCTTGCCCAGAGACACATCGGGCATGTGACTGCAGGAGCTGAGGATAGAAGCCCCGACCTTCCTGTTGAGAAACAACCAACTCTATTTCTGAGCAACAGCCATCCACTGTGTCCATATGTCCAATGGGCTGGATTTAGTCCTTTTGAGTTTCTTGAATTTGAATTTTGAAGGTTTTCTGTCTTTCATTTTTGAAGTTGTTTCTCCTATGAAAGGAAAAAACATGCTTGATTGGGTCAAAATGCCTCCACAGGTTTTTCCTGGTTGCTGCCAGAACAGCACAACAGCAGACATTTAAGGGTTAATGGGAGAGCAAACATTGTGGGAGAACTGGGGTTTGAATTCAGACTTAAGCTCTTGCTGAATTAACACCTTCAATGAAACATACAGTATGTAATAACTCACAGAAAAAATAATGGATGTAAAAAATAAATCTTTAAAGTCATAGTTTAAAAATATAAATCTATTAATTTACAAAAAAAGTTTGAATCCCCATCAAATATTGTGAAGATCAGCAAAGTCTCTCCAAACCTAAAATCAATATCTAGAATTTCAACAATAATATCGTTCTTTAGTTTTTACTTGATGTTGAAATGACTTGTTGATGCTACATTATGCCTCTGATTGATTGATGATTTGATTGTACTGTATGATCAAGCGGCTGGCCTGCATTGTCCATGAGTAGACAAACTCATTGGCATGTCCTTATTTATAAGGCTATACTTAAAGGGACACTTCACCTGTTGAAACATGAATCTGTATTGACATTGGGTCATATATGTAGAAATGTGAAATACATTTTGAAGTTGGTGCCTTCTTGGCCGTGAAAAGGCAGAAAGTGTCTTTTTGGCTCATGTTGATGAAAGACACCAAATCCCAGAATGCACAGCACCGCAGGCCACTCCCACTAAGGTCCTCTAGTTCAGAATCAGAAATACTTTATTAATCCCAGAGGGAAATTTGATCGTCACAGTTTCTCCTAAATATACAGTATAGCAGTAAAAATATAGTAATAAAAACATTTACAGAGATATTTACTTCAACACATAAGACCATTTCCTTAACTGATTCCGAGATTTCTTCCAGAATTTATCTTGGAAATTCCTGGCAGAAAACGGACTCTATGTCTGTGTCCATCGTCAAACAGTGAGAGCACCGACACTACCAGTTCACCCCAACTCGAGCCGGCCCCGGCTCATTTTTTCGCCATTATCAGCTTTCTCCATAGAGCCTGTTAGCACAGCTTCCAAGCAATATGGTGGACGTTAAGTTTAGATTCTGGGCGTGAGTTCCCACCCACTGATCTGTGATTGGTCTGTAGCTTCAGTGGTCGAAAATATGAGGAACTAGCATTGTAGTTTCACCCCGCTAACCACAACAGCTTCCAGTGCGTCACTGGAAGCTCCTTTTCAGACTTAGAAATACAAAGATTTCCCATCTCAGGGGAAAATGAGGGTGGGATGCACGACCATTCAAAAATACTACCAGGTTTCTAATGATACAAAGATTAATACAAATGGGTGAAGTATCCCTTTAACCTGCTTCCCTCATACTTGTGTAATTGTATTCATGCGAAAAGGACTGGAAGCTAGGGGCGCGGTCTCACTGGCCATCCGTACCGTGCCCAAGCACGCTTCAACGCTAAAGTCCAGTTCGTTTGACCAGTGTGGCCGTTCCATATCGTGCTCAGACACGGTTCACTTCCTTGTCTTTGGCACACTTCGGAGAGGTGTGCTTCGGCACGGTACACTTCATGCACGAGCTCAAGCACGTGGGTATGCTGACAGCCTTCATTATGGAGAGATCCAGAGTTTCATGTCTGTATCTGACTAAAATGACTCAATATAAGACACAAAGTAGCTGTCATGCTCTCTGTGTTGCTCTCCGATGTGCGGCCGCGGACTCGCCTGTGGACTCGGCCGCGTGTCTATTTTTATTTATTTATTGCTGTGTCTGATTAAAATGGCTTAAAATAAGCTGCAAAGTCACTAAAGTATCTGTTATGCGCTGTGTTTTTCTCTGATGTGCAGACGCGGACTCAACTGTGTATCTCTTTTTCTCTCTCTTTCTCTCTCCTCTCCCTCTCTCTCTCTCTCTCGTCCGCCTGTTTGTAAACTGAGCACGCTTCATAATAACATAAAGCGCGCATGTGTTGTATTCCGACGTTATGTACAAGAGGTAATAGTGCTTAAGCCCGTATGGCCGCGGGCCGTGCCGGCCAGCGTGGGAATGGCGCAGCAGGTGGGCAATCATGCTTGGGTACAGCACGGTACAGATGACCAGTGTGACCTAGCCCGAGGTCTTTGCTCTACGAGCCAGTCACAAAACGTATTGTTATCTGTTCCCAAACTGTGTCTTGAAACGGGGAAAAGGAGTCTCAGGTACGCTGCTCCTGCTGGCTGGAATCTCCTTCAGGATGATCTTTGTCTTGGGGAGCTGGTCTCTCTTTTTATCATTTTTAAAGTGGATTGAAGGTGTTGGAGGAAAATGCGAGATGCTTTAAATAATGACTTTTCTTCTCTGTGACTCAGGACATGTTGATCTGTGTTTGTAAGTACTCTGTGTTTTATGTCTGTAACATGCTTGTTGTGCTGCTGCCCCTCTTGGTCAGGACACTCTTGTAAATTAGATTCTTTAGCAGGAAACCGCTTTTTGAACAGCTGTTCACTGCAATGACCAGAATAAAATAAATGAAAACAAACTACAATATACTGAGACACAAATCTATCACAACTGTATATAAAATATTGTTCATACAATGACTAAAAACTTGAGATCACTCACTTTGAACAACCAGAAGAAACATAAAGCTCGAGGAGGCAAATGTGTGAATAAACTGTTTTAACAATGAAGAAAAAATGAAACAAACTTTGTCTTTAGTGAGAGCAGACTATGAACAAGCTCAGTGTGTTAGTGAAGTGTACTGTAGGCATATGTTTCACCTACATACACTATGTCATCTTTCTACAGATGTTAGTTTCCAATGTGGGATATTCAATTTTTAAAAATGGTTCTTTAAATGTTAAGCTGTGGTTTGTCTGTCAGTGGGTTTCATTTCTGATAGCTGTCGTTCTCATGTATCTAATTTAAGAACTTGGTCTCATTAAGCACAAAGTCCACACAGTGAGACACACACGTATCCTCTGTACAGTCTCAGTGTTCAGCTTCATCATGGCCGGACGTCTGCTGTTTGTCTTCTTCATGTGTAAGTAAAACCTTTATTGATTTATTCAGTATTATTGTGGACTATTATAAAGCTCTGCAGATTGAAACATGACGTTAATGTGTCATGTCAGATATCATCATATCAGTGATTAAGCTTTGAGTCGGTGATATTGTGTTTTGTGTGTTCTGCCAGTTGTGACAAATAAAATCTATTTTTGTCTCAGTTATTAATTCTCCATTTGATTAAAATAAATGAATAGTTGGAGGAGTTGAAATGTGTGAACTCTTGGAGTTATTATTATGTAGTCAACTTACTTTCACTGTGTTTTTTAAACAGATGTCTTTAATGGGATTCAAACAGAAGGTCAGTCTGTGATCTCTCATGGTTCATGTCTAACTGTGCTGTGATCGCTGCACTACTGAAGAATTTAAACATTTATATACAGCTTATGTTTGAGTTTGATGAAACATATTATTGTTTATATTTTCAGCTCGTCTTCCACCTAAACTTACAGTGAATTCAGCGGTGATCACAGAGACAGACTCAGTCACACTGAAGTGTCAGACTCCATCATCTGTGTCTCAGTGTCAGTACTTCACTTTAAGTGGAGGAACTGTGAGGACATTATCCTGTCTGCAGACACTGACAGGAAGTGAACTGCTGAGGATGGATCATAAGAGTTCACCTGCTGAGGTCAAAGTGAAATGTTTTTACACTGTTCAGATGGAGACATAAATGCTCCATCTCCACACAGTGACACAGTCTCCATCAGCATACAGTGAGTAATACAAGTGTTGTCATATATTCATATATTTTGTTACATCATCAGAAAGAACCCATCTGGTTCAAGCAGTCTGATTTAAAGAGTTGGAATATTGTCAAAAGGCATCCTCTATCAGTATACATTTGTCAAGTGATTTATTTGAATGAAAATGCTTTTGCAGATTTGAGATGTATTTGAGCTACATTTGCTTTGTGTGTTTTAATAATTATTTTGAGAGTGATTATATAAGATAATCTGTTGTCGTTTATAGTCCTAAAAACACTCAAACAAACATACTAATGGGAGCATTGGTGAGGAATGTATTATACTGTTTCAATAATGGTGAATATGTTTACATTTCTATTTTTCAAATATATTTGCTCATATTTTCAGCTCTTCCTCAACCTGACCTGATGGTGAATCCAGCGATGATCACAGAGACAGACTCAGTCACACTGAAGTGTCAGACTCCATCATCTGTGTCTGTGTCTCAGTGTCAGTACTTCACTTTAAGTGGAGGAACTGTGAGGACATTTTCCTGTCTGCAGACATTGACAGGAAGTGAGCTGCTGAAGATGGATCATCAGAGTTCACCTGCTGAGGTCCAAGTGAAATGTTTTTACACTGTTCAGAGTGGAGACAGAAATGCTCGATCTCCAGAAAGTGAATATTCCTCTGTCTCTGTTCAAAGTAAGTAAAACTGTCTTCAAGCTGAATCAGCAGAAGAAAAACCCTGTGGTGTAAATATCATGAACAAAACATTTTATTTTATTTTTAGGTGAGACAAACTCAAACAAGGAGAGTCTCAGCACTTTGACAACCTCAGTTTCTATTGTAACTTCACCTGCTGATCAAGGTGAGTATAGCCTACTGCATATTTCAGTGTTGCTTACTCTTTTACCATCATTTACTAACTAGCACTGTCACATAAAACTACAGTCCCACATTTTCCTTAAACTTCAGACTCCTGTTAAAACGTAATTTTTTCAGACATTCAAGTCCAACAGACTCCTGATTTATCCTTTAAATAAATCCCACACAGCGGGAGTTTGCCTGGACAAACTTAGTGGTATGATGATCAAAGTCATACATTGGTCAGAGATTATAACAATTAACTGATCAACTTCACTGGTGAAGGTATCTGGTCCAATCAAAATTATATATCAGTTTTGTCAGGATTAGAATCAAGTAAATTAAGATAAATCCACTTTTGGATAGCCATATACCAGTTTTTGACAGTTATTATTGGGTTTTATCATCAATGTTTTATAGTCCCCTCCATCAGCAAAAACGGAGGAGGTTTTTCCGTGCTGGAAATCAAAAGAAAGCCTGATATGTCTCATGTTGTCAAGCACATTGACGTTGATATCACTCTAACCTCTTCTGCTGCAGGTATTGTAGAGAAAGAGTCCAGACGGACCCAGAGGACGCCATCACTCATCACAACCACAGGTAGGACATTGTATGATTCTAGATCACTTTTAAAGTATTATTAACTCTATTTTTTTACTTTATTCACCAGGTCTGCCTACAAGTAGCTCGAGTGCCTCCACTATTGTGAGACCTTTAAAAAAAACATCAGGTAATATAATCATTTACGTAATACATTTAATTATTTTTTTTCATTATGTTTAATTTGAAATTATATTTTTTTAATTAACAAGGTTGGACTGTTGGCACAGCAAGTAACAATGACGGTCCCAACTTTGCCCACTCAACATCAGTGAAACCAGAATCAGGTGACATGTTTAATTTTGCTTTAACCTCAATGCCAGTTTCAGCACAAGACAACATGGATGGTTGATGGTTATTGATTGCTCAACCTGATATCTGTGATGGATATACAGGTTCATAACTTTTTGTGAAGAAAGCTTTCCTGCTGTGTGGGATTGTTTGACTGTTTTATGCAGTGTGTTTACACTCTATGTTGAATAATTCAGATAACCTTAAAGCCAGAAAGCAACGGACTGACTTAGATCAATTGTGTTACAATCAGGGGGAGAGCAGGGGCAGTTGTATCCTGAAACTGTGCAAAAGCTCCTTTAGATTAAAAAGCAGATGCATGGAGTGCTGCATGGAAGTTGAAAAAAGTTTTGATAATTCATCCTTCTGGTGCTCTTCAGTGCGTGTATTCAACTTAAAGGCTTTTGAAGGAGTCTGAGTGCCTCAGATTTCTTCAAAAGCTCCCTTAGATTGTCTTATCCGAACAAAAAAGGAACGACTTTTTTAAGCTACCAACTTCATCGCCTTTGGTTTCTTTTTAGGTAAAAGGTTTGCGTAATTTGTGTGACTTGAATGTAAATGTTTGATAATCAGCTGATTGGTGATGGTTGAATCCAGGTGAAGACACAGAACAGGTAAGGCTTGCAGGTGGTGAAGGGGGAGCTGGTGGTGTTAATCTAGAGCTTGACTTGTGACACAGACAACGTAAGAATGGTGTATTGTTCTTGCACAGACTGACAGAGCAGGGTTCTTTTAAGGCCCTGACACACCAAGCAGATGGCCAAGAACTGGTGGCGATGAAGACCGCCTGTGGTGTCGGCGGGCGACACCTTTTGTCTTGGCCAAAAAGTTGCACTAGAACACACAGCAAAGACTACAGACGACGGCCAACAACCACGTACGTTCTGCGCATGCATGAGAGGCAATAACTCTCCATGTCAGCAGGTGGTGGTAGTCTGTAATCGTCATTCCATAAAGGGAAAACTGGAAAAGGACGAGGAAGAACACGGATAAATAAAATGTTGTTGTGTTACGAGAAGGCAATTTTCTCAGAAGTAAGTTACTTCTTATCGAGAATGTCTAATGAAAAGTTGAAAATAGCGCTGGCGTTGTCAGCGGTGCAAGCCCAACCACTTTCGGATGTAGCTGTTAGCTTGGCTGTCCATCCTGCTGACCTCTGATGATGGAATCTCGCTGACCTTTTGTGGCCACAACACTTGATGGTACAGTGTGTGTTGGTAGCACCACACTTTGTATTTTCCCTGGCAAATGGCATTGGTCGATTTTTTGCCAGGCCCTCCGCAAGTTGTTGCTTGGCTAGCTTCCCCATGTGTCTGTCAGAAAAGTCTGCAGGTTTTACTGACAGTCGTGGGATCAGCTATCCACCAGCAACAAAGATGGTCTTGTTCTGTGGCACCCCTTTCCTCAAGCAGAGACTTCTTGATTTTTCCACCTTGATCTTCATTCTTGCCCTTGTGATGAGCTCATCAAGGCGATTGAGGAGCCTATCCGTGCATGGAGCCGTCTGAAGGATGCTTCTGACGACGTCAATTCAACTCCTAAGCGGTAGAAGCCTGGTAACTTGATACCTCCCATCACCTGCCTTGCCCCTATGAGGATTATCTCAAAGGCCACAAGATTGGGGAGGTTGCGCATCCCATGACAATTCCAGCTGTTGCCATCCTGATGTGTAGCCTTCCAGGGTGAAGCCCATGTGCATGTTGCTTGAGTATCTGGCTAGGATATTCTTGACACAATCTGGGATATGGAAGAATTCCAAAGCAAAGTCTATCAGCTTGTGCTTCACTGAGCTGTACGCATTGGCAAGGTCTAACCACATCACTTGCAGGTTGCTCTTCTCTCTCTTCGAACGCTGGATTTGGTCCCAAAAACAGCAAAGAAAATCTGACTGAACTGGTCGATGGTATGGGAGTTCTGATCTTTGGGGATGAAGACACTGATTGCTTGTTGCCACTATAATGGAACACAAGCTGTTTTCATATGCTTCCACAGCACTTTCACTACCTGGGGACAGTTCTTATACAGCTTGTAAGGGATCCTGTTCTGTCCAGGGGCTGACGCTGACCTTGACTTTTTGATAACCTCTTCCACCTCATGCAGTTTAGGTGGGGAGGTATCAAATGGCAAGGTTGATGGAGCTGGGCATAGCACATGTCCTGGGGAGCCGAGAGGTGTAGCTTGTCTGCTATCACTGTACTGGCTCTTCATGTACTGCTCCATCTCCTCCTTGGTGGCGTCTAGCTTACCACTGTCTCCTTCTCTCTCTTCTTCCTCCTCCTTCTGATCCTCTCAGCCCTGTGCAGCTGGGCAAGCTTCTGTTTGATCTCGTCCCACAGCTCCTTTAGGCCGACTTTTTCATTGGGTGCAGCTTTCCTCCAGTTCTGGCAGAGTTGGTTCTGACAAGTTGTTTGGTGTCCCTCTCTATCCTTCCCATTCTCTGGGCTGTGGGCTGCTTCCTCCTGATTTCCCCAAACTTCACTCTGCACTCCTCATGGATGATCTTGCTGAAGATGTTAAGCTTGCGTTTGACTCCTCCTCTCAAGGACAGCTCCAGCAGGTGGCTCAAGTCTGCATCGAGTTTCTGCCTTGGCCTTCAAGTGGCCAAAATCCTTCGCTTTTGGCCACTTGATCTTGATGTCTCTCCCTGGTTGCTTTGCTATTACTAGCAAACTATTAATACTGCAGACTAGTGGGGCGTGCCACTGGTAGGCCTGTGTCCTCATCTATGTTGTGTACCTTCTCCATCACAGGACCTCTTTCTGCTACTTCCCACATTCCAGCACCATTGGGTTGCAATCCCGGCTTTGGGTCCCTATCGTCTGAACTGCTTGCACAATGCGAGGTCGTTGGTCTGTCTGCCTTTCATCTACCCCTGATGGATGTGTAATCCCCTACATGATGTCACGGAGGATTTTCTCATTGTTGTTTTCTGTTCCTGTCGTTACCTCTTGTTTCGTCCTGGTAGGCCCATCTTCTCTCGGAAGGCCTTCAGGTTGTTTTATTTTGTTCTGCTTGGTGCATCCTGGGGCTTCCATGTTGCAAGTGGGTAGGGTGACTAGCCGCCCACTCCTGCTGCAGTCTGTCCTGCTGTCAACTGGTCTTTCCAAGTTGTCCGCCAGTCTTTCCTAGCTGTCACCTGCCCTACAACATCATGTACAATACAATAGTGATGTTTCAACAGCAGAGTGACTGTAAATCTGGGCATTTATGACTGAGCTTGTACACAGAGGGACATTAACCATCTGGGATTTTTGTCTTTTCTACTTTTTGCCCAAAACACTCTGGGTTAATAAAAACATTCCTTGTTAAAAGTCAGATGCTTCTTCACTTATGTTCAAAGATAATGGTACGTTTTATTTTTTTTGTGTTTGTGTACTTTTAAGATACAGGTATTACTGCGGCCTCAAATAAGACAGCACCTGGGAATTAAATGAAAGCTAGACCAATATTATTATCAATGCATGATATACTCAAATGGTTCTCTTTTTCTTGTTGTAAAACTGTTTTGGCTGTGCAGGTCCGACTGTAAGTCCTCCGGATACTAAAGAATTGTGGAATTGGACGTTTGTCTGGGTTTTCGCTGGATGTGGATCTACTGTGGTCATCACAGTGATTGTTAATGTTATTCTCTGGAAGAAAAGAAGAGCTGGTGAGTCAAATGAAGTCAGAATCTTTTGTTATGTAGAAGACTGAAATATCAAACTTTTAAACTTTACTCTTTCAGTTTTTCTTTTGTAGGGAAATATTTGTAAGCTCTAAAAGTTGTAATTGTAAAATGGTAAATGTACTTGAGCTTGTATTGCACTTTCCTCGTCTTCTGACTACTCAAAGCACTTTTACACTGCAGGTCATACTTACACATTCACACAATGATGGTAGAGGTTGCAATGTCAAGTGTCCATCAGTATGAATTAATCCATTCATACAAATTCATATGCCGCTGACGAAGCAGCTGTGTAATGCTTGTTGTCATGTAGATTGACATTGACATCACTCTAACCTCTTCTGCTGCAGGTATTGTAGAGAAAGAGTCCAGAAGGACCCAGAGAATGCCATCACTCATCACAACCACAGGTATGACATTGTATTTATTCAAGATCCCTTTTACAAACAAGTATTAACAGCAGAAGCAACTTGGGGTTAAGTGTCTTGCCCAAGGACAGATTGGACGTGTGGCTGCAGGAGCTGGGGATCAAACCCTTGACCTCCTGGTTGAGAGACCAACTCTACCACTGAGACACAGCTGTCCCTTGAGCTACTACTTCAGACAGACACATTTAAAACTAAATTGTAATGCATTTCGAGTATAATGAATTAAATAGTGTTTAATTTACTGAAGGTGCATTTGGAGAAGACATCAGAAAACATTGATGTCAGTAAAAGGGGTCAGGTTTGAATGGCTGCTCTAACATGCACCCAGCTTTAAAGGTTTTGGTGAAGCATGATTGAAGACTCCGCTGAGGAGACCTTGAAAAAAATGGCAACTGTTGAGTTCACATGGTTCACAGCTAGCCTATTAAAATAACTTCTGTGGTAAATGTCAGCTTGCGCATAAATAACCACAAAGAGCTGCAGCTCAAACTGAGTAAAAGACAAGCGTGGTAGACCCACAGCGCTGAGACATGGAGACAGTGTCGGTGAGAACACTCTCCTATCTCATATCTCACAGCACTTCTGAACGTGAGCTGGAGGTGAGGTGAGGTGCATTTCTTAATAACATAAAGTGTGAAAGTTGTCTTGGTGGTTTCACAACCTTCAATTCTTAGCTGTGGTTGTCAGTGGCAGTTATAGACCACTTTTACTGAGGGGGCCAAACTGGGGCCAGTTGTTTTGTCAGAGGGGGACATTAAACCAAGGTGAAAAATGGACAAAGATAATTGCTTTTATATATATATATTATGCTAAATAATAGTGCACATCATTAAATACCATGATTTACATTTGTTTCCGTTAATATCACAGTAGATTGTGAGTACGGTTGTTGAGTCAAATACTGTGTATGTGTTATTAGGGGGGCTCTTCCTTTTGGAGGGGTGGCCACATGGGGGACCAAGCTCAGTGTTACAGGGGCACTGGCCCCTGTTAGCCCCTGCCTAGATCCGCCCATGGTGGTTGTCCAAGCTGTAGTTCCCATCATGTTTCTCGTATCACCCTCCGGAACTAAGAACATATTTTATTGATGCATTCAAAAGTTTCCATTACCTATGACTGTGTTGTAATTTCTGGTGACTTTTTATTCACATCAACAATCTGAACACAAAACTGTTATTAAATGTGCTAGAAGCATTTGAGTTCTCACAGCGGTCTAAGGGGCCCACACGAAAATAAGGTCACACCATCGCCCTGATTCTATTTAAAGGACACAGTAAAGTAATAACGGTTACTGCTATTCTGGATGTAGCAATTCAGATCACTTCTGCATCTTTTTTAATATGACCCTGCAAACCAAGACATAACAATGTGGTTATCATTTCAAATACGCGTTCTATTAATGACAATACCACTGATATGTATATTAATACATGAACCATAATCATGTCATCATGTGATGAGATGAGGGCCAATTTAACTCTGTTGTTAGTCAAATCATTGGCAGCACTGCTCCCGTCAAAAGCCAATAAAACAACACGGCTGTGGATCAGTGATCGAGTCGTCTCTCAACCGGACAGTCGGGGGTTTGAACCCCAGCTCCTGCAGCCACATGTGGGCAAGGGCAAGACACTTAACCCAAGTTTCTCCCACTGCTTCGTTGCTGCCGTATGCATGTGTATGAATGGGATTACTTTCTTCTGATGATCACTTCACATAACGACCTCTGTCATCAGTGTGTGAATGAATAGATGTGACCTGAGGTGTAAAAAGCACTTTGAGTAGTCAGAAGACTAGAAAAGTCTACTATTAAAGAAAAAAACAAAGACTCCTTGGAGGACTAGGGAACAAGTGAGTATGCTCAAAATCTCATCGAAAAGGCTGAACAAAAATCATGAGATTAAAAGCTTTAGATATATTTTTAAATCTAGAAAAAGTATACTGACCTGTCAGAAAAAATAACTGAAAATGTCAAAACAGCAACACATCTCAAAAATGATAAATTACAATACAAATAATACTCACTATCTCTTCTTCACAGTTAGTAAACTATTAAATCATTCTAGGTCAAATTCTGAGGAATTACTCTCTTTGAATAAATGTAATAAGGTCGCCAGTTGCAAAATAAAAAAAATAAAAAAATAAAATCTTGAGAATAAGAACTTATACTTTGAAATCATGTAACAGCAATTCCACCCTATCAGGCTCCTCTCATCAGCCCACATGTGTCCAAGTTAGTACTGTACAGTACCTACCTCTACCTCTCCTCTTGACCCTATTCCCACAAAACTGTGTAAATGTGTCCCTCACAGCCTGTTACATGACTTACATCATGTTGTAAATGATTCTCTTCGGACTGGTTTTCCCCACTTCTCTAAAACATGCTACAGTTACTCCTTTACTAATAAAAACAACAAACCTGACCCATCAATCATTACCAACTACAGACCAATCTCCAACCTTCAGTCAAATTCTACAAACAATTACGGTTACCATCCATTCACAGTCTGTGTGATCTGTACCAATCAGGTTACAGAGCAAACCGCAGCACTGAAACTGCCACTATGTGATCAATGACCTGGAAATCAACCGTATTGTATTGTGTTTGTTTTTGTTTCTCTTCTGTCAAGCATACTGAGTTTAATTTTGTATGAAATGTGCTACACAAATAATATTTTATTGAGTTAATGCATCTAAAAAACTCCATCTTTCCCAATCCTGTTTCTAAGTTTACTTTATTATATCATCCACCATCTCTGGTAGTTGACTCGACTCCCCTTAAATCAGTACACCCCTTAAAAAAGGAAAAATAAATACAATTTAAATAATAAATGTCAGTCAAGCGCTCCAGCAATATGAAGGGCATCATTATTCATTTCTCTTTTCTGGACGTAAACATCGATCCATCGGACTGAAAGGTTCTAATTAATGGACAGAGTGTGCTGTAAAATGTAAAGCTATAGGGAACATTTTCTCATCTGTGTGTCTTCCTCAGTCACAGGTTCTGAGGGAATGGAAAGGAGTGAGTCTCGGAAAAGCAACGTAAGTCTGACAGGAAGAACAATAATCACATTTTTCCAGATATACCAGATGCTCAAGTTGGTTTCTGTCTTTTCCCAGCGGTCTTTGTACCATATTTACTCTACCATCTATGAGGGTCAGACTGCAGCAGCCAGCAAAGACATGATCTACAGCAAGCTGCAGGCACACTGACATGCTAACAGTTTAAAAGTGTGTTCAAGAAGAGAAGAAGTTGACTGATGTGATGTAGAACCAGAGGTACCCATCATGGACCAGACAGCAGCTGTCATATTTCTGAGGTAACGGTAACGGCCCGAGGCCCGATGGTTGGGGACCCCTGATGTAGAGTAATCCTGAGCTTCTGTCATGTCTTCTTCTCAAATCAACCAAGATGTAAAACGAAACCAAAGTTTTCCAATGTCTTTCAGTCAGAATATCAAGTTCAATCCAAAAGTGTTTGATTGAAGGTGAAGACAATATTTTTGGATTAACTTCGTCTCAGTCTTGTTGTTTGCTTACTTCTGTACAAACACTGTATGCTACAGACCCAATGCAAAATATTTGAATCTTTGTATATTTCAAATAAAACTGAATTAATGTGTTGAGGTTTCTTTTCTTTGTTTGCCTTTTTAATTTCATTACTTGGTTCATATCAGACCTTACACAACCTGCAGTTATAGCCCCATAACAGCACACACACACACACACACACACACACACACACACACACACATGCAGACACACACACACACACGCACACACACACACACACACACACACACACACACACACACACACACACCTGATACAACAACATGAGCTCTTAATACAGCTCATAAATACAGATATCATTTTTTTCTGTTTTTATTCTTGAAATTTAACAGGATGTATATAAACCAATCATCTAAGAGTAAAACAGCGCTGTCCCCCTCACAAATCTCCACAGTGTTTGTTGTTTAAGCAGGAAGAAGGACCAAGATGCACTTGACGCGCCGACATTTTTATATTTTTAATTGCTGCCACCTTGTGACCAAAATCAGCATTACAAGTGTGAACCTGACAGCCCATTTCCACTGGACCTCAGAGGCCTGTACGATGAAGGTTTGTCTAACTGTCTTTGTAGTACAGTGATGTCCTAAACAGAATCATGTCTGTTTTTAACACAGCGCCGTCTGAGGACCTAAAGATCACGGCAACCAGACATTGGATTTTGGCCTCTTTAAGATGCACAGAGCTTTTTACAAGGCCCAATACTTACATCGTATACATTTTCTCCCTGTCACAGATTTCTCTTTAAATAAGAGATGTTTTTAGGTGGCTGTTAAAAGAAGTTTATTTTGTGTCACTGTGCAGCAGCACGTGTAAAGGTCATGGGTCCAACAGCCAGACAGAAGAAGTATTCAAACAATTACAACTTAGCAAAAATAAAATGTGTCTATCCTTTCTAAATCTTTGAAGATTGCACAGTGATGGACACCAGATGGTTGTTTTCTTTCAGGCTTTAAGTTTCTTGAAGTCTCTTTTTATCCACAAGGGGGCAGCAGATGCTTGTTATCCAGTGCCATCGTTTGTAAAGAATTTGATCTAATCAGACTATTATCACTAAAGCAGCAGTGTTATCTTGCATTTAGGTAACAACACTTTATTTATATAACACTTTGAAGACGAGAGCATTAAAGGGCTTTCCAGAGATAAGTTAAGAAAAATATCACAATTAGAAAATAAAATCACAAAACATCAAAATGTAAATATACAGTTAAAAGATTATTTTAGTTCAGTTAAAAAATGTACTCCAGGGCTCTTATAAAATAAGCTGTTGGCTTAAAAGGTGAGTCCATAAAACTGTGTCTTAAAACAGGATTTTAAAAGCAGAAACAGAGTCTGCTCCCTGAGTGGGAGTCTGTTTCAGAGCTGAGGAGCCATCACAGCAAAAGCTTGATTAACCTTTGACCTCGACCTTGACTTTGATATGATGAGCAGGTCTCATGTGGCCGATCTAAGAGGACTTCTTGGGGCAGCAAGGCGTTAAAAAAATCTGCTGGTGTATTCTAGTGCCAGGCCACGTAAAGCCTTTTAGGGAATGAGTCAAATTTAAAATTGGATAAAGAAACAGGTAATCAGTGAAGTGAAGCTCAAACAGGTGTGATGTGTCAGGTTTGCTTTGTCTTTATGAGAAGTCTGGTTGCAGAGATCTGAAGTTTGTCTGTGGCTCGTGTTCTGAAGCAGGTAAACAAGTGCATTACAATAATCTAGACATAACGAAATAAAAGCAAAACGACAGATATCACTTTTGTCAGAATTGAATTGGTGGAAGTTTTGTGACATACAGCGTCTCATATTGATTCAGCAGCTTTGTAGCTTTGTTTATAACATTTGGATGGTTTTATAATTGGATATACATAATTTGATGTCATCAGAATCATTATGAAATGAAATGTTGTGATGTCATGTGATATGACATAATGGAAGCATGTATGTGCACACATACATGCGAAGAACTTGTCAGATATCAAATTTTAGGGATAGCCCATACAGCACACAGCTGTGAGACGGCTAACACATTAGCATCGATTCAGAGGAAAATGGCTGCCATGTGAATATAGTGGCTGACTATGTCTTGTTAAAATCAACACTTTTTATAAATATAATTGTTTACAGCCAATGTAACGTATGAATTATAATAAAAAAACTGTGTCTAACTGGAATAACTTTCTGCAGATAAGGCTGTTCTGATAATGTATCACTAAAGAACTCATTACTAATACCAAATCAACAAATGAAAAACATAGTATATCAAATATGATCAAGATTGAAACTTTAAAACAGTCTGTGGGCCGAACCAGTGAGGCTTTTATACCCAGAATATTAATCTTTAATAAAATGTTTTAGAAACATTTATTTTTTTGTATTTTTGTGTAAAACAACTGGAACAAAAATAAGAATTTGCAGACCTGAAGGTGGCGACCCCCCCCAATGTCTGTACGGCCTGAACCTCCCCTTTAAAGCAGAAAAAGTTTCTACAAAGGTAGAAGTTGAGGATCCTCTGAGCAGGAACCCATTTCACCTCTACTGCACGTTGAGCCTGATTAGGGATAGCAGCTTCCCCAATCACCTGATCCAACTTACCATAAGTGGTCATCAGTTGACAGCTCTGCATTTCTCTTTACTCAAGTGTCCAAGACAGACTTCAGATCTGGAGTTATGACTGCAGAGTTCATCATCCATCTTTGGCCTGCCACTTTTCTGCCACGTACACTTGTGAAGTATCCCATGGTTCATACTTGTTTTGTCCATTTAACAACAGAAAAAATTCCTGTCATTCCATGACTCAGCATTTTTGACAACATTAGCAGTGATGTCTCCCCATGAAGTCTTAGGTTGGAGCCATCCAGGTAACTCATCTAAGGCATGCAGGGAGGCTGCTTTCTTTTAAGTTCTGTCCACTATATGAAGAGATAGGAGTCGGAGCTTATCTCTTGTTAACAGGCAACACTGGAGATGATCCTCACATATGCAAGGGAAAAAATGAGTACACCATGAAGTCAATCTTCATTTGATCTCCGTCAATGGGAAGCTCCGATTTTGTAAAAGTATAAAGACTTGTAGAAGTATGTCGGATAAAAATGTAAAAATGAGTGTGTTGGTTGAAACATGTTCAATTATTCCTTTCATGTCATTTTTCCAGCGTGAATGGAAAATGTTTTATGTTATGTTGTTATTTCTTTGGCTTTTTGAGGTCATCACCGAAGCCTCCAAAAATAAGATATGTTGTTTATTTAAAGGGAATTAAATAAAAGCAAGAGAAAGTTTTTATTTTGGTAAAGGCTGGACTCGAGGTATCCTGCCTGAAACGTTTCATCTCTGTATTAACCTTTACATCACTATGATTCCAGCCTCTGTGTCATGTATCTTATTCTCATCAGGATGTCTTATCTTAAAACAGCCTGTGCAGACTGTTTGCAGGGATTTTATCTGCTTTGTTTGATATATGTCCTCCCAGTTTGACCTTGAGTTTGTACCTCAATGACTTATTTCAAGAAACAGACTTCTATGTGCTGAATAGCAGTCTGAACAGAGCATGTTAGAGCGAGCACACATACACACAGGCCACAAAGTTTCACAAATATTCTAGTGTATGTAAAGGCAGATGAATCGGTGCTTTGTGGTCGAGTCACAGGGGAATAGTGCCCACCCTGCTGGCTCCTCGCACCGCTTGCTGCTATGTTCTCACACATGGTAAGTGAGCCAGATGTGATACAAGTAGAGTTCATGCCACAAGAAGAGTCATATGCCAGTGACAGATACTCATGAACTGGGATGTTTGATGCATTTGTGGAAAGAAGAGACAAAGGAGCTGCAAAATCACAACTGAGGCTTCAAAATTCATTTTCTCATTAGTCAGCCTTATATGGCCTCACAGTACCCTAGAAATAAAAACGGAAGCCTATTTTCTGCTGTGTCTTCCTGTTAAACAGCAAACCTGCAAAAAGTAAGCAAAATGTGTCATATTTGAGTGGGCTGCTCTCATAACATCCACAAGTTTACCCTCACGTCACTTCTAGTGCTCCCTGCTGTGTGTGGCCTCTGCCATGTTTCCTCCTGTGGCCAGAATCTCCTGGAGACGACAAACGGAGAGCGGATGTTTAGAGGAGCTGCCCTCTGCTGACGGACAGCAGCTGGAGCTCAGAGAGTCTGGATGTACTGCCTCCGTCTTACAGATCTATCAGACAAAGTTCAGCTATGAATACAGCTGCTACGTGCAGCATGAGGGGGGAACAGTGGAGGCTCGGATAGATACAGGTAATGAACGTTTGGTGACTTTGTGCAGCGTAGATTCATCTTCATTTAGTGACTCTGTTAAAAGAAAGAAAAACAGAGGACTGACGTTGTTGATGATTTTATTCTTTTTCTGTTCCATCACCTGCAGCGGATCCCTCTGTCCCGTCTCCATACAAGGTGAAGCTGCTCTTGCTGCTCTACACAGTGCTGACAGTGAAGAGTCTGGTGTACTGCTGTGGACTCTTCCTGCTGACCGTCCTTAGGAACAAGAGTCCGTCCACAAACTGCACACATGCTGGATGACTATGTTTTACTCTCCTTTATCACTTAGATGAATTTAACAATGTCAATCATGAATAAATATATGCAATTATGATCAAACAACATTTTGCAGCAGTGTAAAACAAATCCTATATTATATACAGTAAATGTTATTGTTTTGTATAATACTTTAGCAAATGATGCGCAATGTTTAGAGCTATTAGCGGCTAAGATGCTTTCTTAATTAATCAGGCCCTCAGTCTCTCGTAACAAGCTCTCTTTATAGTTTCACACACCGCTGAGAATAAAATGTACAAGAAGATATGAATACAAGCACACACATTGACCAGGAACAAAAAGCTCACAAAGAAAAGTAAACTTGTAAAAATTCAGTGTGTTGATTTGTCTGTAGGTTCACTGTTGACCCTTTTAAACGGTGGTGTCAGTGTTTTATGTAGAGCTCTACGCTGATGATATTCTTGTTTACATGTAGAAACAAAACATGACATAGCAGCTTCATCGGTGGAGAGCTGAAACTGAATGATACACAAAACATGCTGTG